AAAAACTGGGTTGCATTTTTGAAAGACTACATTGAAAACAGTAAGAAGACCTGGCATACCACATACTTCTCTAATAGAGAGAGGACTTTAGAGGGTTGAGGAGGAAATATTATATGGGTGGGGAAGAGAATTCTCATAGAGAAACAGAACTCACACAATGAGACTGTTATTAATATAGTGATGTCCTGAGCATCAAATGACCTAGCTTTATTAAAATGTTGGCAAATGGCAACTGATATTGTAGGCAAAAGCAAGTATATATTTAAGTAAAAATACACTTACTATTTCTTTTTAACTACGTGTGTTGTGTGTGACCCTGTGTGTAGGCATGTGTATGTGAGTACAGGTGCCTAAAACACTGGCAGCATTGAGTTCTCAGACTTGGATACTTGGGAGACAGCTCTCCAGTCTTGAAGTGGCAGAAATCCTATGGTCTCTGTCTCCTGAATGTTGGATTAGAGGTTTTGTGCATAATGCCTGGCTTTAATGTATGTGGAGTGGTTGGTTGGTTGGTTGGTTGGTTGGTTGGTTGGTTGGTTGGTTGGAACAGGGTTTCTTGAAGTCCAGACTGGCCTCAAACTCACAGCTAAATATGGCCGTGAACTCTTGTTCATTTGGCTTCCATATGCCACTGAGCCACCATCTTTAGCTTAAACTGTTTTCAGCATATAAAAAAAGTATGCCACCTTAATGTATGTGACACTAGGTATTATACAACTCATATTGTTCATTTGCAACAAAAAATAAGCAGAATTTTAAAAAAAGACCTTATCACAATCTAAAATAATTGGGCACATTTAAAATAGTTTACACCGTTCTTCTAAGCAGAGACAGATACTCACAGCTAAACGCTGAACTGACCCCCTGGAACCCAGTGACAGAGACAGAGGAGTGATGAGCAAAGCGGTCAAGACCATACTGGTGAACCCCACAAAGACTGCTGACTGGGCAAGGGGGAGCCCTTGAACCCCAGACTGATGGCTAAGAGGCCAACAGGGGGCTGATCCAGACTCCATGAGTGTAGTATCAGTGAGGAAGCCTCAGAAATCTCTGGGGCCTTGGGTAGTAGATTAGTGTTCACCAAGACATATAAATGAACTTTGGGAGCCCATTCCACATGGATGGATGCTATCTCAGCCTGGACACATGGAGAAGGGCCTAGGTCCTGCCCTGGATGAAGTGACAGACTCTGGAGATTCCCCACAAGGAGGGCCTCACCCTCCCTGGGGAATGATGTGGGGATTGGGCTGGGGGGGCTAGTGGAGGGACAAAGGGTAGGAGAGCTGGGATTGACATTTTAAACATGCATGTTTCTAATTCATATAATGACATAAAAATAAAATAAAATAGTTTATAGCATTATTTTACAAATTTCAAGATGAGTGCATATTTTGCTCTGCAAAAAAAGTCACATTTTAGGGACAAAATTGACTACTTGATTATGTGATTGATTTAGAAGAGAAGATTGCAAAAATAGGCCTTGATGCCTGACTTCAGAAGATGTTGACTCAAAGTGAGTCCATGGAGATAAGAAAGAAGCAAACAACTGGGTTAAAATAACACCTGGGTTGTTAATTTTTATTGATATTTCTAGGGTTATATTGTTACTACAAAGTAATGAAAACCAGTTGGGAACAAAGCTTTTAAAGTGTGCATGTTACAAATGCTTAATTACTGCTTGTGTCCTATGTAGACATCTTTCTGCTAGGTACAGTGATTTTCCGTACTTCAAAAAATTATATTTTAAACCCTTTCTGTTTTTCCTGTATTTCTGTGTATGTTTTTGCATCCCTGCCAAACTGTTAATTCTTTATTTCTGCCCTGCCTCCAACATTTTCCAGTTTTCAGATTTTTTTTGTAGTTTATACTTTTTTTCCATGTAATTAGTAACAGTACCAAATCCAATGTTTTCTTGCACTAAGTCTTTGGATTCTATTTCAGTGCCTATTTCTACTGCTAGAAGTTTCTATTTTCAAACTGCATGATAGAAAACATCTCCTTTAGGCTGAAGCCTGGGAGACCTGATCTTGACATAATTGCTTTTCATAGAACTAAAATAAGTCTACTTCATAGTTTTACATTGAAGGAGGATTTTCCTCTGGCTTTCGCCAAAGTTACTGTGAATTGTGCTTGATTCCAGAATTCTGGATCAAAAATAATTAAGTAAATATGATTTTACCAGTAATATAGAATAGTTTGAGAAGTTGTTGCAATGCTCACTTTATAGGCATTTATCAATTTCACTGTCAAAATAAATTCAGCACAATTCTTCTCTATTCCCATACCTTAATAGAGTCAATGTATTTACATGACATGGAAGTTTCAAGGAGATTCCCATGATTCCCATGATTTGTGGAAGTGAAAAAAACTATCTAATGTCCACCTGGACACACCTTATCCTCTTCTTGTCTTAGCTATGAGGCTACTAGATTGTGTTAGCTGATATCCAAAGCTGTGAGATGCAGTAAGCCAATAGCAAAATATTGCTAGCAAAAGGGATGGGTAGTCAGTGCTGTGGGCCCTCTCAAAGATTTTAATTGGTGCCAGGCCCTATTGCAAAAGTTTTATGAAACAGCAAATAAGAAATATGAGCCAAAACCAAAGTAGCCAACAGCCAGGAACACAAAATAAAAAAATATGAATAGGATTCAAAGTCAAAGGGATGTAGACCAGCAGCAGTATTCAAAAACAGGCACTTCAGTCAAGAACTCTGTAAAGTTTACTGTACAATTGTTTAAATTCTACTTGAAATCAGTTCAACAGTTGGTATCTTTCTTTTCTAAAGTCTGAAATTAGTAGCTTCAAAATTATGTAAATTATACACCATCACACTCATTTATTATTTTACTGGCTTGAGGTACATTCCCTGCCTCCCTGAAGTAAACTGCCCATCTAGCAGTGGAGCTCATGGCTGTTTTAGAATTACATTGCTGGCAATTCAAGGACTTAAATGTATTCACATATTCACATGGAAAGACAGTCTGTTATGTGTGTTAAGGTCAGCCTTAAACCACTATACACACAAAACAAAATTAATGGTCTCAACAGGCTGTGTGCTGTGTGTGTGTGTGTGTGTGTGTGTGTGAGAGAGAGAGAGAGAGAGAGAGAGAGAGAGAGAGAGAGAGAGAAAGAGAGAGAATAAATGTACAATAATAATTAAATAAGAATTTGAGAGTGAATGGGAGGTTTGGGACGAATTGGAAGGGGAAGCAGGATGAAATTATATGAATATTGTATTAATGTTTAAAATTCTAATAAACGTTTTAAATAATATATTTTCTCAAAGACCTTGTGCTAGTGAGCCAAACTTGACTCTGGTCAAATCTGGGTTCATGACAAGTAGAAGTAAATGTATACCTCCTGTTTCTGTGCCTCATTTCTCATGTGAGAAATTAAGAAAAGCAATACCCATTATAGATGGCTGTTACGTTGGTTAAGAAATCCCTATGCAACCTGTTTAGGATATGGCATGGACAGTACATAAGGCTTAAAAGCTATAAGGCATGACTGTCTGTCTTCCCATGGAGGTTACCATCCAGAGGGGAAACAGTTTCATAACATTTTGTTCAAAATTCCACTGTCACCTAAAGAATATGAGGTTAATTAAATTTCACCAGCTCTGAGATACTTAGTAAGCAAAAGATAGTCATTTTTAACCAGGAAGAAATAAGGTAACTAATTTCAGATAAGTTTGAAAGGACGCAGGATACACTAATGGAAGTATGTGATGATAAATAAAACCATTTCTATAATACTGGCCTCTTGAAACCTGCAAAAAACAGTGGAGTCATAGCAGCTGCTCATTGCCTGCCCTGGAAGAGAACACTGATGTGTTCATGGGCCAATTCCTTAACACAACTAGCCTTGTTTTTCCTGAGTTTTAAAATAAGGGACCAGAACTTGGTCTTTTCTGATGCGCTTTTTTAATGTAAAAATTGCAGGATAAATTTAAAGAATTATATACAAGGAAGAAGTTCCCAAAAACTTTTTAAAAGGAAATTTACAGGCAAAAGAATACTAGTGACATCATTAGAGGGCTGAACTCACATGGAGGGTGTGAATTTACAGTTGAACAGAATGGGCATTCTCACATTAGGAGTTCAGATGGTTCTTACTGACATTGAAAAGTACTTATCCAGACTACACTTTATATGTGCCTTACAAACCATGTATCAATAAGTAACAAGGTATGAAACAATACACGTCTTGCTCCAGGCAATCCCCATGTCCCTCATCAAGCATCAACAAAGCAGGGCAGGATATCATTATTCCATATTAATATAATATGATAGACTTCAAGATGAGAAAACACACACACACACACACACACACGTATACCACAAAGTGTGAAAAAGAAGAAAACATGATTGGTCAAAAAGAAATAAAGAGAAATGGAAACAAACACTGTTTGAGATGTGATTAGAGAGCTCCCATTGTAATAAACATCTTATGTATGATCATTTTTTAAAAATATGTCATAAATCGTAAAGTATTGAGTGTGCTCTTGAAACAGCAAGCAGCATCAACTGTGAAAAAATAGGTTAGTAAAAGAACGGGGTCTTTAAATAGAGTTGAGAACTAAAAATTCACATTTAACAGCAGCATTTTGTATGTTGCACAAAATTATGGCCACAAAGATTTTATGACAGGCAACATGTTTTTTAATCTAATAAAAAATAGCCTGAATAATTAAATGCATGATAAAATAAAGACATATCATTAGGTGCTATTTCTTTTGTTTGTTTGTTTGTTTTAAATATGTAACAAACCCAAAAGGCACAGACCATGGAATATTTTCCAGTGAATGACTATGAAGGAAGGTAATTAGAAAATAAATATATTATTGAGTGAATTAAAAAGTCTGTTAAAAGTAGAATACATTTTCTGAGGGTTAAATTTTTACTCTTAGCTATTATACTAGATCTAAGAAACCCTAAGTCACCCTCTGAGTGAAGCCACACCCACCATCCTTGTTGAGCATTCTGTGTCATTGACCATACCTGTGGGTAGCTGTCAGTCCTTGGTAAAACTGATATGTCATAGGTGGCAGCAAAATGGCTTTTAGCTTGCTGTATTTGGCCATATCGTTCTCTTTTTCTCCACTTGGCCCTTCGATTTTGAAACCAAACCTAGTGTTTTTTAAAAGAGTACGATTTTAGCTGAAGAACATTAGGTAGAGCAAATTTGACATTAAAAACTTCGTGTCAGAAAGGAAAATCAACGCAGTAAAAAGTAACAGCGAATGTATTTCTTTACATCAGGACTAGTCCCACATGTTTTACATTCTCTTGTATCCTGATATGAGGCATAGTATGTGCATGAGGTAACATAACAATAGAAAGAACGGGATTTTAGACAAGCTCATTTATGCGTATGTGTCTATGTTTTCATTTGTGGAAAATAAAAAGAAGGTGGTAATATAATCATTCTTCTTGCTGTGGGTCTTCATCCCCTAAGTGGGTTTGATGAGCTTGAGGGACAATATCTCATCCCTTTCCTCAGTCGATCATAGCCCACTTGTCATCGCTGCCTATGGACAAACTGTCTTGAAAATGTGTCATAAACAGAAGACATTTCTGAGATGACATTATACTTAAATGATTTTGTAAAAGTTAAAAAGTGATATTTTACCTAAAATGGCTGGCAACAGTATTACCTTGATTACTTAGAAACAGGAAAATAAAATGATGTGTTCTTTTGGACATCAAAAGGCTGGTAGGTGAAGTACAATCACCTGAAGTTAAAATACATAACTACACTTATTTTAGCCAATTGAAAACTCTTATAGATTGCAAAATAAGGGAGGCAGACAGAACCATGTGTCACGAATGCCTATGAATTAGTCTGTTTCTCCCAGCTCATTAAACTGCCTTTCATGATTTCTCTAATCATATCTAAAAAATCCTCATGCAAATAACTATTCCTGAGAGTGATCCTTTAAAATTCTAATACTGCAGTGCCTTAAAAGAAGAAACAGAAAATTATATTATAAATGAAGCTTTGATATTTTTGAATAAGCACTCCCTAGGCAACATTCAGGAACCACTCATCTTTATATAACTATTTGCAGAGTCTCGATGGATTAGAAAGAAATTGGAAATCAAGTGTATATAAATAAAAATTGCAAAGATTTTTTCACTAAATTTTACTTAAAATTTGTGGATACATTTTTAATATGAAATTCTAATTTTGTATATTTTATATTACCACAACTTTTGCTGCCTGTTAATATCCAAGGCCTACATATACATTGCACATTTAATATTATACATCAGAAAGTTTTCTGAAATCACAAGTCTTTCAAGAACTACCTTTTAAGAATCATTCCCAAGTTACATTGCTAGTATCAAATAGTGCCCATCGGTACTGGGGTTTGACACAACAAAAGAACACACATTTTCCTATACTGAACACAGAGAAGCACAAAGAATGTACAAGTGCTTTCTGTCGTCTCTCTTACTCTTGACAGTGTCTTTAAAATGGGTATCGATTTCCACATGCCTGTGGAAATGCTTGAAAGAGAACAACCTGGATTAATACAGATCAGATTGGTTCTCTCTGCATGTCCTTAAACAGATATGAATCTGTACTGAAGGGGAAACATGCAGTGAACAGCTGATCAGTCTGCATGTAAACGTATTTTTCGATGGTTACAAGTATTACTAATTTAAATAACAGTAACGGGACAAAGTACAAAAGCAGGACTGGTGTGAATACCAGACAGTTCTGACGTTCTTCATTAGTACAAACTTTCTCTGTATTTTTTGCTGAACTATGGTAGAATTACCACTTGCTTTAAGAATGTTAACTATTACCTGCTGGCTGTCATCCCCGAGTCACCACATGTGGTCAGCAATGACAAATGGACCATACAAGCAAAACTAACTCCATTAACAAAATAAAAAAAATCACAACTTATTCATCTTCCTATTACAGTAATTTATGAGAGAGGGAATTCAATAATGTGGCAAAAGTATATAAAAAGAAAAAAGGCCTTTTGAATTATTGCTGCCTTTCAAATTTGTCAACTAATAAAGTGTAATTTAAAAATATCAGCTCTGGCCACAATAAAATACTGCTGAGACGAAAGGTAACATTTTACCCAGTATAATTTTTTCTTTTAATTTTTACAAGAAATTAGATTCATTGAACCTTCTGGTTTAGTCATTTAACTAGTTTATAAATATAATCCAATACATAAAAATTATTTAAATTGCATTGTTAATAATTACTCTGAAAAAATCTGTACCTAGACCTTAAAAACTAAAATTCAATGGTATATATTGAAAATAGTTGGGACTAAAAAACTCTAAATGACCTATTTTATGTTTCTTAAATTTTATTAGTGAAAATATCTTAGGATATACATAAAGATAAATTATATATAGGTAATATATAAATATTGAAAACTAGGTAGGTAACTTTGAAATTTTTTCACCCTTTAAGATTTTTTTTAATCAGAGATGTGCTACCATATTCTGTTCTTTTTAATGACTTCATTATCCAGTTTCTGAAATAGCTGTTTTCCCTAAACTTAGTGAGTGTTCAAAATTATTACAACTAACAAGAAATTTTAATGGACCATATTACTTTGGCACAAGTAAGATGTCTTAGCTGACAATGTTCCTTTTTGACAAATTACTTCAAGTTATTCACTTTTTATAATATTAACCCTCCCCAAAAGGTCACCTTTCAGAACCTACCTGGACCCTGGCCTCGGTGAGCTCTGTTCTCAGTGCAAGCTGTTCTCTGACATAGACGTCCGGGTAATGGGTTTTTTGGAAGACCTTTTCTAATTCCTCCAGCTGCAAACTGGTGAAGGTAGTTCTGTGTCTCCTTTTTTTGCTGCTGGATACATTGCTGTCACATTTGTCCCCAAGTTCATCCAGCTCACCCTTCTCTGGCATCCCTTTCACAGGAGACATCCTGAGATTGTTGCAGCTATCCATTGCTCGATTCAGCTCGGTGTGAAGAGGCTGTCCTTCCACTTTGGTGATCCCATAGTTCACTGTACTCAGAGGGCAAAACAGCAGAACTCAGGATGGTGAAACACACGAAATAACTGATGTGAACTAACTTAAAGCATCGGGAAATAGGTCTGCCAGTAATTTATTTTACCAATGTTCTATCATCACATGATGTGCAATTCATAGTTATTAATTCACTATTGATCAGGCTTAAAAACAGTTTTAAATGTATACATGGACTCATGATTTGCCAAAGTCCACAGATCTGTTTTACATGGCAAATGTACAGCTTATGCATAAAATTTATAATCAAATTAAAATAGTCAAGTGAAAATTTGCTCCAGACTAAAAAAATCTAAACAACCATGACTTTTGAAATATGTACAAAACAAAAAAGTGTGCATAGCATATACTCATATTTTGTACGTAAGACAAAATTAAAATGCTGGTTTTCAAAAAAGGGACACATCACGTTTAATTCATCATTTCTACCAATATTAACTCTATCTCCCATCCCCACAAAATGATGCTAAGAAGACATTTCAATGGGATATGATTTCCATTACATTTCATATATTTGATCTAGTGTCTGAATTAAAATTTCCTTCAGAAATCGATCTTCTATTTTTTTAAAGTTTTTATCAAGTTCTGAAAGTGGCTTATAGTTTAAAGGTATAAGATTTTAGTGAAGTTCTTCACATTAAAAGTGTCTTGAATACTTCATACTTCCATTTAACTCATGTCTGCTTAGGTCAGAACCCCCCCCCCCCTTCCAGGAACTCTTAGAAGTGAAAATTACAAAAATAAATAAATAAAGTAAAATTTAAGATGGCATTTTTGTATTCTGTCAAGAGTTATTTTAATTTCAGTAATGTTCTTGAGATCCGAGTTCAAGCTTGCACTATAACAAGAAACTAATGGTATCATTAAATTTCACAAAGAGATTCAATGAACATAAGGCAGCAGGAACTATTTGGGGTTTGTGTTATTGTCGTATTTTAAGGAAAACAAAGGCAGTCCTCAGAACACTAATTCCCAGAGACTGATCCAACATTTTTCATTTGCTTCTTTAAAAAGGGGGTTGGAGTTGCCTGAGGGGTGGGACTCCCCATAATAGTTTGAAGAACCGTTTCATGCGTTCTACAAATGAACTGATTTTTAATGTCTATACAATTTAAATTGCACATTGATCTTATGCAAAGGAAGATGTGCTGTGAAATTAAATATTAAGAGGGCTATGACTGATGAACAGTAGGGTTTTGTCTTAGCAGACAAGAGTTAAACCGGGAACTGCGGCAATTAGAGGTGGGGGAGGGGAAGCCCCAAAGAAGCTGGGGGCAAGTCTGGAGAAAGACCGACTTTTTCACAAATGTAGCCGGTAACCATCCGTGTTCATTTTATTCAGTCTTTCTCCGTTAAAATTCTTCCTAAGAGCGAGATGATCGCTTAAAAGATGATGATTCACCTCAAATCGACCATCATTTCTCTCTCCTCTTGTTCCGACAATTTAAAAGACGAGTTTATCTAGTAGTAGGCTCAAGCCACTGCAGAACCATTTGAAACAATCCTGTCAGTTCAAATAACTTTATGCATGCATCTGAGAATGCCGAGAACACAGATGCGGCCGCCGAAATGCAGTCGGGAAGCCAACACTTCCTGGTATGTAAAAATTAGCTCTTCCACTCTTTCCAAATAAACGATCGAGTCCACCTAAATGATAGTTTCCTCTGTTGTGTGCAATTTTCTGTTGTTGTTACCGAACAAGTCAAAAGCCACTCTCCGTACTGAATAAAATTAGTAGACTACGAGATTCACTCAAAATCTGTGTACAAAGTAGCGAGCAAGGAAACGAGCTCCCGAAAGAGTCAATGTCTTGCCAGATATTTGAACTTCCATTAAAATAGGGGGCGGAGGCTTGTTGTAAATATTTCACACTTAATTCGTTTGTTATTTTAACGCAGCCCGCTCCTTACAGCTCAAGGGTGGAGTATACACTATGATAAGGAAAAGTCCTCTTGGAATCATAAACCTGCTTTAACTGTCGGCATGTGAAATGATAGGTTTGTACTGAGCTACAAGATAGAAAAAGATAGATGGTTTGTTTTGATAACATTTTGACTTGGAGATACTCTGGCATTCAGAGTCGAAGATTCTGTCCAGAAGCATTTCAAAAGGCTCTTTGGGTGGCGTTTTTATGTGGAGCAAGATAAAAGTAGACAGTGAAGAACCCGAAAGTGAATGATTTTTGTCGGAATGATTTGCCCAAAGCCAATGTGATTTACTGCATAACAAGAACCTGTGTTTGCCGATTGCAAACGCAGTAAACAAACAAAAATCCGCAGAAATCACAAATCCACACAAGCTAATAAAGAGCAACTGAAATACACCATTTTTGCAATGAGAATATCGTCCCGCCTTGGACAATAAAAAGTTTTGTTGTGTGTCGGTTCCCACCCATCTAAAGGAGCTCACAGATTTTAGGTTTCCTGACCACTGTGACGTGCAGTGATGGATTTCGCTTCCTTGCGCACTGGCATCCCGGAGTTCAGAACGATCTCGACTCAACTAAGGTCTCTTCAGAGCCCTGTTAGCCTATACTGGGGTCCTGGTCCTGCCAGTTGTGGATTTTCCCGGAGAGCGAAATTTCGCTCAAGATTTAGCCCTGGACCCCGGTCAGTTGCAAGGGTCCCAAAGCAAGAGAAAGTGCGGGGCAGCAGGCTGCCTCCCTCAGTCCCCCGACAGCCTGGATCCCAGCTCTCTCATTTTTTCACTCCGACCCGCACCGCACCTCAATTCAGGGAAGGACTGCTGAGGCTGGCGCTGAGGCTAGAGCCGCGGCCCGGCCGCCCGGAAATGAGGATAAAGATGGGATTGGGGCTGGAGCCCGTCCGGGGTCCTGGGGACTTACCGCTGCTGTCCTGACAGGGCGAGGTCCTGTCTAGGCGCACGTGATGCTCAGCTCTCGGCATCGGCCCGAAGGCCTGCACGCATTTGCCTGCCGTCGCTTTGCCATAAAAGGACTCATTGTCCAGCGTCTCCATAACGTGCTCCAACGCGCCTCCTGTGCCCATGTAAAAGTCACTGTTTTTACTTGGCGGGCTCTTAAGGGCAAACTTCTCACTCAGAAACTCCATTATCCTGGAAGGCTGTCTGGCTGCTCTGGGGCGCGGAGGATGGAGGGCGCGGAGGGAGGAGGGAGCAGTGGGCGGGAGGAGGGTGGGTCAGAGAGGAGGGAAAGGGAAGCGAGCCCCGCGACGCCGGGAGCTGCCCAGCTCCCAGCCTCTTAATATGTCCGGGCTGCAGAAGGGGCACCCGAAGTTGCTTTTATATCTTGAAACTCAGCTGGGCTCCTCCGGCAACCTCCCAGTCCTAATGAATATGAAAATAGGCAGGGACTAACTCCACCCCAGGGTCCCCTCCTCCCCCACCCCACCCCCATCTTCCCTACTCACCCACCCAGGGCAGGGCGCGCCCCGGCCTAGTTCAGACAGACAGTTCCATTTCAGACAGTTGCCAAGAGAGACAAGGCCCCGTCACCCAGAAAATGTAATCGCCTCGATACTGGACTGGCATTGCGGAGGAGCCTGGTGAGAACGCGGAGTGGGTTAGCCCTCCACTCCCAGCGCCCTGATGGGCCATCCCCACCCCTCCACCCCCAGCACCCGCTGTCCACCCCGCCCCCACGCCAGCCACTCACTCCCAGAAGATTTAGAGGCATCTTAAGAACTTGAAAGGAAGTGTTGCTCTAAAGAGCTTTTATTTCATCCGTAAATCGTTTACGTGGAAGATCCACATTAATCTGAGCCCAAGAAGCCGGATACAGCGGCAGCTGTTAACTGGGTTGCTGGTGGTAGAGGGGCCGAGGTTGCCTCTAACTAAAATGCTGGCGTCGCTGCGGTAGCAGCGCTTGCCGCTCGCCGAGGCCCTGGTCTTTGCGTTTGCTGTGGGATTCAGTGGCCTTGCGGAGGTTGTGGGCATCGGATGAGATGGGAGCTTGGGCAAGGGTCCTTTAAAAGAACCGTATTTTGCTACTACCACCCAGCTTCTGTCACCTCTGCCCTTGGTCCACCCGTTAATCATCAGAGCGAAATGCTTTCTTTAGAAAATTCATAAAGACAAGTGCCTCCCCAAAGCCCGTTCGTAGTGGTGGTCAGAGGAGGGCTCATCACACACAAAATAGTGCCTGTGTGTGTGTGGTGCGGGGCGGGAGGGGGAGAGGTGAAGGGCTTAAGTGTTTTAACGCAACTACTACTACGTGCAGTTTTTAAGAGTTGGGGCAGAGCTTCGAAAAGGGTGATGGAGAAGCGCCTTCACAAAGGATGATGAGGAAGCTACTGGCTCCCGGGATTGGTGTTGGATGCACGGTTGCTTGCGGGCCCAGAACCTTTGGTCCAGCTGAAGGAGCTGCTAGGGCGGATAAAAAAACAACCCTTTAGAGCTGAAAACCATTCTGCTTGGCCTTGTGCCCGACTTCTGTTTCTGGGGAGCCCGAGGCGTTTGAAGAAAAAGAGTACATTGCCTTGGGCATATTTGCAATGGATCACTCAAGCTTGCAAAATTTTTGAAACTCCTCTACAAATTTTATGAGGGAGACCTCTGCTCACCGGTCCTGACGTCGTAGCCTTTCCTCATCACAGGCCTTCTCACAATGGCTGTCACTTTTCCCCAGGTTACTTTGGCAATTACACCAGAGCCGCAGCCGGTGGCCTAGCCCAAATTCAGAGGAATTTCCCTCAGCAAGGGTTCAGACATTTCCACGTTCTTCGGGGTCCTTCTGACCCATGCTCCCAGGTGAGACACTCTTTGATGCCCAGCCTGGACGTGATTGAGAAGAAAGATTCCAGGCACCATGTACACCAGAGTTGCTGCTTAGCTCTGTCCCAAAGGCATGGCTAGCAATGAAAATCAGATTCCATCGGACCGGACAGAAGCAGAAGCAAGTATCAGGGACAGCAGCTACGTTCTGCTGCCTGCCCTCGGTCCACCAGAGACAGTTCTCCAAGGAGGGGCTCCTGTGGAGCCTTGCTCAGCTCCCATGAGTTGGCACTGTCCTGACTTTTAGCAGGTTCTATTTAATTGTTCTCTCTCCAGAGAAGTGCTTTAGCACCAAAGACTAAGTGACTAATCTTCAAGACTACTAGAAAAGAGAGTACAGAGAGCTTCAGCTGAAAGGGCATCCGATGTCCAAGCTGGGCACTGTCTACAGTGTGAGGCCAAGCTGGCTTCACCTTAGCTGGAGTGGGGTGCAAGTGAGGAGGGAAGTTCGGCAAATGTGTGTGGGAGGTCTTGCTTACAAATAGAGCAGCTGTGTGACCCTCTATCACATTGTTCCTTGTGGCTTTGTAGATTGAGTTAGTCACTCACTCCTTGCCGACTTGGTAATGTTGCAGGATCTCACCTCTCCTTTTTAGATCTATCTCACCTCTAGGTGTTTTTGAAACTATGCTTTAATAAACACGGGAAAGGCGAAAGAACAGACAGACATTTGATGGGTCTTTCAAATATTCACAACAGCAAGCGCTTCTATTACTGATGAAGAACTATGCCGAGAATTCCTACTTATAAACTTAGCTCTGTAGTAGAGCCATGGTCGGTCTGTTTATAAATATGTGTTTTAGGAGCTCCAAATTCCCCGAAAAACATTCAGTGTCTTTTAAATCAAAGACATATGATCCAAGACCCTCAGTACTTGTATGGCAATGGAGGTCCGAATAGGAGGAAACTGCAGGGTAATCCAGGTCCACTGCTGCCTGGGAAGTCTTTTCCACCCCATTACCAAAACCCACTTTTGATTGCAGTGGTTGAAGGGCTGGGCTAAAGGTGTCACCCACCCACTTCAGATCCCTGAAACCTCCTAGAAATTCAAATCTATTACACGGAACCCTTTCTGTTTTGTGACATGCAACCACATATGCCCATAACAGAGGGAACAGTTAATGGCAAACTCCCATAACGAATGCATAAACTGCAGTTTTTGGCAAGAAGCTGGGTCTTTGGTTGCCAGGAGCTGCATTAAATAGATTTTGAGAGGTTGAGATACAGTTTACAGAAATGACATAGCCTTAGCCATTAGGGCATTAGCATTGAATTTAAAATAGCAACTAAAGCAATGCTAATTGAGTGGTTTTGGAAGCCAGAAGAAGGGGAAATAAAATAGGAGGAGGTCGTTTCACCTGTGCTTTTGGGAGATAATGTTGGAAACCGACAAAAACACCTTGGTAAATGCCCCCAACTACACTCCATATGGGTGCTAACTCACTTTTAAAATTGGCTTCTTCTTGTCTTTGCCCCACCCCAGCCCTACCTGATTCCAACCACCTAATGCCAGTGATGGCTAGGAAGGAGAAACCAGCTAATTAAGTCAGGGTTTAGGTGGCTTTAGATAGCTTGCCCCAACCTCCTCAGTCCCAGTCCATCATTTCCAGGTTAGCACTTCTGTTTACCGGTTCTGAACATTTCTTTGCACGTGTGATCCGAACTCAGGGTACATCTTGCTTCTTTTCACTTCACCCAACAAGTTAATCAGAAATAGATTTCTGTGCATCTTTGTCTTATCTGCTTAAGAAGCACATTTGAATCCTGAGGGTAGGATACCAACAGAGGTGGAGGACCATTATTTTTCTTTTTAAGCCTGAAAATCCTCTGGACATCTCAGGATTCCAACACTTTTAGATCCCTGGAATTTGATGGAACATCAGTACCTGTGGGAGACTCCAGGATGGAACGTAAAAAGTAAAGAAAGCAAAGAGGTGGAAGGGGGTTAAGAAGACTATTCTGGGTGAAATCCTTGGCTGATTTATTCCTCTAGTAATTAAGATGTGCTGGAGCAAAGGAAACCGTTCCTCTGGAGCCACATGATGGCAAAAGCATGAAGAGAGTATTCTGTGAAGATGACTGCTACTTCCTTCTGAAGTCACACCTAACATTCATTATTCCTGTAGAGCTTACTGTTGCTCTTACAAGCTGGCAGCCTCCCATATAGAAATATATTCTGGTTGCTTATGAAGTTTTCTTTATTTGGTTTTCCTTGGAGGAATAAAAAATCAGAATAAATATATGACTTAAGTATTTGAAAATTCCACTTATATGATTATTTTACACTCCCCTTGTGGAGCACCTAATTAGAACAATCAGATAAGCAATTGACCTTACAGGGAAGCCTCACTCATTTTACACTAAAATGAAGAAATTTCACAGGTTAAAAGACACTTTGAGTGATGATCTTCTCTATGCAAACGCATTCTGGGAAAGGAAAGATATTTCTATTTACATCAAAGCTGCAGAGAAGGCAACATGCGGAACACTCAAGTTTCTTTCCCAACTCATGAAATGAAATGCCATGTTTGTATACTAATAGTGGGCATGTCAAGACAAGACTCCAGAAATTTTAGTTTTAACACTTTCTTACTGCAGAGACAACTTGGGGCTTATAAATAATGCTTATGTTTCGGGGACATGCATATATGCTGAATCAGGCAAAGTATGCCAAGTGTGGAAAAGCAGTGTCTGTAGAGTGGGGGGAGGAGCTGGTGAGAGAGAAACTCTCATGAAAAAGGACTAAAATAATTGAATGTCATGTATCATGGCAGGAAGCCAAGCCACCTCCTGTTTGTGTATGCTGTGCTGCTGGGCTCCTTCCTTGGCTTCATCTTCAGCGTTCCCATAGTTCTGCAGACATAATTGATGCAGAAATATATATTGCACCAAAGCAGCTTGGTAGTTTTCACACACACACACACACACACACACACACACACACACACACACCCCGCATAGTATATGTCTCAAGTTATTACAACCCCTGGAAAACTTGCCAAGAGACCTGCAGAGAAGTGTGGAGTTTGTCCTATTTGTGAATTGAGTCTTCTATGACAAAGAGCTGTATGAGAAACGAATCTTGGAGTCTTTCAAGTGTGCTGTTATGAAGCCCTCTGACATTATGGGCTATGTTTATCTTAACTTCAGTGGTAATATTATTTGATATCCCAAAGAAACTCATGAGTTTTCAGAGAGCTATATTTGTTCATGAGTTTCAGCTGGTTTCAGTAATAGTTTTTCACATAGTTGACTTTCCTACAAAAGAGAAGGGATGGGATTGAGTTCATTTCTCTGGTTATACGGTATCAAGTTAAGTATAAAAATCTCAGGTGATGATTTGCCCTTAAAACAAATGCTTTGTCTTAATTGCAACTGGCAATATTAGATACATTGTTTATATCTACTAAAAGTGTGTTTTATTACAAATATATAAATAGCTGAATCATTATAGATTTTTTACTATATAAAATATAATAGCTATTAAAGTGATAAT